ATGGAATGGGAGGGGAAACCGTCGGGCAGGCAAGCTAACAGCAGGGCAAGGAGGCAATTGGCAATGGTGGCAAGGGAAAGAGAAGGAGAAAGAACAGGGATGGAAGAACTGTCAATGGGACAAGGAGGCAAGTGGAAACGAGGAAAAGAGGGAGGGAGAAGACCATTGGCTGCCAGGGTTGACAGTTGGATAAGGAGGCAGCCAGTGGTGGTGGTGCAGAGAGGAACAATTTTCAGACAATTTGGGTGAAGGAAGAATGTAATGAACATGGGAAACATGAAATAACCCACAACATTTTCATGCTGTTTCATTTAAATGAACCCTTCAGAGTCTTTTTTCAGGAATCTACAAAAGAACCTGCTGATGAAAGAAAGCACCTCTGGTTTATTTTGTTCATTCTGATTAACTAAAAAATCCAATCCTTATCTAGAAGTAAGACTAGTTATATGTACTGTAATTAGCTCTAGCTCCAGCTAGACAGGTGTGCCTTTTTTCAGGATGTTCAAGTTCCTCGTCTTATTTTCCATTAACGCCTCCTTCCCTCTCGTTTCCTTCAATTTGTTATCTTTTGGTATCAGCAGCATTGTTTCCTACAATGTTTTCTTCTGTAACTTCGAACTTGCAGACATAACAAATGTAAGAGAATAGCTTCTCAATAAAATTCCCTGTCATACGGAGCTCTTTGTTTTGGAGGAATTCATACTAATTTTTCACTGCTTGCGTAATCTGCATCCTAGAATTATTTGGAGCTATATTACAATGTTCTGTGCCATGGAAAATTATTTTAAATTATTCAATTCAAAATAATTTGAATTATTCTACTCATCCAGAAATGTGTACTATAGTTTTCTTCTATACCAATATATAGCACTAGATAATTATTATAACGGTACTAAGTTTAATTTATATCTGTCCAGCACGTCTGCACCCCAAGTTGCCCCTATTTATTTTTAAAATATATGTTATTGGCCACTGTAAGGCAGAAGAGGGCTGTATCAGTTGGAAGCCAGCATTTTGTACCGTTTCTTCCTTTGTATGGCAATCATGAAAGCAGATCAATGTGCCCCCTGGATCTTTGGACATTGCATGCCTGTGTCCTGAAAGGTGGTCTAGAAATATTTAAATACATTTCTTTCCACACTTCATAAATAATGCATTTCATGAACAAAGATGATAGCTCCATTTCTTGGCATGTTTTGTGTTTGACCTCCTCTCATTCTATAGTGGTGACTTAGATGCTGCAGGCCATTATCAGTTGAGTTAGTGATGAAGGAAAGCCTTTGAGAATATGAAAAGCAGTCTGTTGCTCTACTCTCCCTGGAAATGTTTATTTGCTTCTTTGTCTTACCTGTCCACAATATTGTACAAGAAAGTTCAGCAGGGTTCCATCAGTTATTATGGCAAGGGGAGGGGTGCTGGGAACAGTCAGAAAGATACTGTACCTTTCAGATAAGGTTTCAGATTGAGAACAAATCTGGCAGATTGTTACTGCACATTCTGTGTTTGTTCCATGCCAAATTTGGGGAAGTGTGACTAAGTACCTCTTAAGGGTATAAAGAACAGCATCAATCCCCCATTAATGAATTTAGTGAGCTTTTTATTCTATTTGATATATCATTTTCTGAATATATTTGAAAGACCTATCTTAATTTTTGAAATTCAAAATGGTTTCTCCTGCATATACAGTCAGAAAGATACTGTACCTTTCAGATGAAGTTTCAGATATTATTATTATTTAATGCAGTGGTTCTTAACCTTTGTTACTCGGATGTTTTTGAACTGCAACTCCCAGAAACCCCAGCCAGCACAGCTGGTGGTGAAGGCTTCTGGGAGTTGCAGTCCAAAACTCCTGAGTAACCCAAGGTTAAGAACCAGTGATTTAATGCATACTATTTAAACAATTTGAGATTAATCCATCCCCTATTTCTAAAAGACTGTACCCTCAGTGTTGTCATTTTAAAACAGAAAAAGGCTCTGATTTTTAAAGTTGGTAGTAATGATTCTATAATCATTTATATTTCTGTTTGGTGTGTATAGGTTGAAGACACATTATGCATCGTATGAGCCAATGTTAAGGCAGTTGAAAGAAAAATATGAGACTTTGCTGAGAGAAAAAATGCTTACAAGTTTGGAAAGAGATAGAGCAGTTGGACAGGTAAGACTTTTGTTTGGTCAGTGATACAGAATTTCAGTGTAAGGTGAATTTGGCAATTTGGATTTTATTAGTTATTAATTTATCTTCACTTTGTATGTCCCATTTGTCTCCCTGTATAGAAATTCAGGCCAGCTTACAAAATGGTTAAAAACCAGGTGTAGTTAAAACAGAATGACTGAAATCCTGTTGCACATTGTAAGCAAAGTTGTACATTTCAATACGTTTCTTGATGGTAAATAAAGATCTCCTGCTGTGAATCCTGGTGGTACATGTGCATACTAGATTGTTGTATGTGCACATTCTCGGGGGGGGGGGGGTGGTACATTGTAAGCAAAGTTGTACATTTCAATATGTTTCTTGATGGTAAATAAAGATCTCCCGCTGTGAGTCCTGGTGGTACATGTGCATACTGGATTGTTGTATGTGCACATTCTCGGGTGTGTGTGTGTGTGTGTGTGTGTCTTGATTTACCAGCATAAAATGGACCAAAATGTAGAACTTTGCTTGTATTACACACTACAATTTCAATGAAAATCCTGTTTTGGATTTTTGATACATATTGACAATTTTTCTGATATAGTGGGATAACCTAGATGTATGATATAAGCAGTAAAAATGAACTGAAATGCACAATGTTTCTAGTCTTGGAAGTTTAGAAGTTTTCTTGTGAGCCAAGTATACAAAATTCTCTTCACTTTTGTTAAGTTGTATTTTTATGTACCTTCATATGATGGAGATGTGCCTAAGATAGGGGTAAGGAGATGAATTATTTGTTGAAAGTAGATCATCCATCTCTTAGAAAATGAAGAATGACAGATATGTTTGTCAGGAAATAATCTATTATGGTGAAGGGATAGTTTGTGACAAGCTATTCATACATTTTCATCAAATTTACAGTTAGTAACTGATCATATCTGTGGCAAGATGATGCTATAATTTCTACACTCTTGAGGAGAAAGGTGGGGTACACATACATACAGTACATACACACACACACACACATACATGGACGCACACGGACGGACGCACGCACGCACGCATGCCTTTCAAAAGCAATGCGACAGAAATTTATAAAGGCTATCCTGTATCCTACGAGATTATTTAAATAAAGAAAACAAGAAAAACATTCCCCTGGTTATTGCTGTCCAAGGTTTTGCATAAACCAGATCTATAATCCACTGCAATTTTGTTTTTGTCTTTTATATCAATGAATCTAAATCTCATTGTCAGCCTCTAGGTTCCTCCAAGTGCCACTGGTATGCAGCTTTGGTTCATCCCAGTGAGATTTGTATCTCAGCACAAGTCTTAATTAAATGAATGGGGAATTCTGCTCCTAAACTTACAGCATTTTTCATCTAATTAGGTCAAGATAATTTTAATTTGTTTAATCTCAACGTATTGTTCAGTTTAGGAGGGGTTGCGAAAGTCTCTTTGAAATGAATGGAAAACAGCAGTTGGCACTTTATAGATTTTAAAAAGAGTCAGCAGCCTCAAGAAAGAAAAATACTCAGTCATCTGAATAAGTACAGATGTGCAAAGCACCTTTCAGTGATCATTTTATAGAAGCATGAGTTACCTCATTTTGAGGCACAGTGGGAAATGAGAATATGAGTATTTTCCCAACAAGGGACAGAATATGATCTGATACGTACATTTTTCCCTGTCCGGCACAGCTACTGTGCACTTTAGCGCTGGGTAATGTAAGGCTAATTTTATTAATCAGAGACAGGTTGCTTGTATGATTAGACCAGTCATTACACCTGATTTATTCCAGATCTACTGTGGTATTGAATGCAGACTCACACATAGCTGAGAGTTGAAAAGAGTATGGTAGACAAATTACTTTCCAGCCTGTATAGAGTTATTTTGACCGAGAATGAAAAGATATTTTCTATCTCTTCAATCTGCCTATGAATGTATAGAATGAATTGTTAACGAAGGGTGAACACACTGGTGTTAGACTAATCTCAGTCCAGTTTCTCAGACTTATAACATTTTCATATATTTTAGGCTAAATAATTTTTGGTTGTTGTGGGTTTTTCGGGCTCTTTGGCCATGTTCTGAAGGTTGTTCTTCCTAACGTTTCACCAGTCTCTGTGGCCAGCATCTTCAGAGGACAGCACTCTGTGCTCTGGTGTAGTTGGCTTGGGAGTGCAGTATTTATGGCTGTGAGACAGGCTTTTGTCTATTTCTGTAGATGGGTGATTAGTGTGTCTTGTTGTGGGCGTACTGTTGTGTTGAAGCACCAGCAGAACTTCAACAAAAAAGAGGAAAGTGTGAAGCTCAACAAAACTTGGCTCCCAGCTCTCAAAAATACAGCATGCAAAAGGTCAATGAACTCTAGTCAGCCACAAGGACAGTGGCTCACTACATACAAAAGACCAGCTAATGACACCCATCAACCACAGTGACAGATAATCTCTTCTCCTTAGCACAACAGTACACCCACAGCAAGACACACTAATCACCCATCTACAGAAATAGATAAAAGCCTGTCTCACAGCCATAAATACTGCACTCCCAAGCCAACTACACCAGAGTGCTGTCCTCTGAAGATGCCAAACACAGAGACTGGTGAAACGTTGGGAAGAACAACTTTCAGAACACGGCCAAAGAGCCTGAAAAACCCACAACAACCATTAGATCCCGGCTGTGAAAGCCTTTGCAAATACATTAAATAATTTTTATTATTATATCTAATTATTTTGCTAGGATATGTGAAAATTCAATCCTCAGTGTTATTTTTCTCTCATTGTTTAGATTACAGGCTTGCAAGCTACCTTACAAAGCTTGGAGTCTGGAAACAGTGTGCACATTCCAGTGGCCAGAGGTAAATATTTCTGTTTTTACAAAACATCTAAACCTGGGTTGGGCAGCATGTTGCCTTGGTCTGCATGTGGCTACCAAGGTCACTACTTGTGCCACCAAAGCATCCCAGAACACCCCAAAATTGTTTCAATTCTTATGGAAATAAAACTGCGCTTGTGCCCTTTAGAGGTGTAGGAGTCAATTTTGTCATATTTTGAGAGATCCTCAGCACTCCTGACCGCCTCCCAACCCAATATTTAATCCATTTAATTTAAAAAAATGTTTTGCCCACTAGAGAGTACAAGGGACTTGTTCAGTTAGGAATTGTTTAAAATAATCCTTTTGGGGGGCGTTAACAGAGCCCCATTTAATAACTTTGGGTTCATATGCACAGTGTTTATTTATTTACTTTAATAATAAAGAAATAAAAAAATGCAAATTAACCTTTTTGGCCTCTTTAAAGGATGAAGCAAACCTCAGGAGTCCCAAGTGTTCAGACAATAGTATGAAGGAACAGTATGAAGAGTGTCTTTTGACACTTCAAACAATTATAGAGAAAGGTGGGGGTGGGGATAAGGTACCGCCTTGATTGCTTTCAGGATGATGGTGACTTTTCTCCCTTCATTATTTTATTAAAAAGAGACTAACTTATGGTCCAACATTTTACTAAAATTTTAGTAGTACTGTGGTCCCAACCCCATCAGTTCCTGGTGTCTTCCCTACTTTTGAGTTATGGATTATTATGTCTTCCTCTTCTTCCTTTAGTAAATACAGTACTCCATTATATTTTGACCCATTTCTTGAAGTCTAATTCACATATTGTTTTCTATATATTCCTTAATGTATATAAGTGTATATTTTATGAAAAAAGATTTAAGTCATTTAATTTATCTCTCAACAAATTACACACGGTACCTCTATCATTTTTAATCACACCAATGAGGTCCTCAGTAGGTCTGGGTTTGTCACACCTCCATCATTTTTAATCACATCAATAAGGTCCCTGGCTTTTTCAGTTTGCTTAGCTCTGGCCAGCAGTTTTGAATTTTTATTCTAAACTCAAAATATTTTCTTCTCTGATATATTAAGTTCCTCTGATTTTTAAAATTTTAATATTCTCTAATTATTTCCCTTTTGCTGATATTTCTGCTATACTTTTTAGTCTTTATCTGTCATACAATTCCTGCCCAACAATTGTGTTTCATCTTCAAACTTTTAAATATATTTTTCTCATACTCTTTTAAGCTTATATGATTCCCCTAATTCAACTGATCATTGCTTTCATAGTATCCCACGTACTACCCTGACTGTTCTGAGAAGGTGCAGAACAACACATATACTGTATACTTGAGTACACATATGGCTACTCAAAGAGCAGTAGTTGCAGGTGGGCAACCTGTACTTCTGTCTATCTTTGGCTTTTAAGATTATAGCCCTGTTCAGGCAGTCTGTCTTGTAAACATGTCGAGATAGTCAGAGACCAACCCTCCCCCCTAATGTTAGCAAGAAAGATCTGAAAAGTAATCCTAACTCTGTTCAAGTGAACATGGGCATTTGAGAGTGGCAGGGTGGCAGGGAGGGAGTGTGTGTTCCTGATGCCTTCTACAGGCTTACAGGATATAATGCCTGAAAAGAGCTTTTGAATAAGAATCCAAACTGATAGTACTAATGTCTGAATAGGGCCACCATTTAACAACAGTCCACATTTACACTAATAGTGCAATGTTGTGTTTTAATGACATCAAGATCAGTTTGAGGAAGTGGATTTCTCCAAAAGCTCTCATTAAAATATAGCAGTCAGTCTTCAACGTGCCACAACATTTTTGTCTTTGTTTTTTAATTTTTCTTTTGTTTCTGCCTGGTATCAAGATGAGTATTATCTTGAGTAACACTTAGAAGAATTCAGTGCAGAGGTATTCATGCTATCAGCTTCATTTGTAATCTAATTGTACTTGAACTGTAAACAGAGTGATTTAATGTTAGAATAATAATTATAACCTTGGAACTGCAGAGCTGAAAGGGACCGTAAGGATCATTTAGCCCAGCCCCTGTCAAAGAGACACAGTGGGGAATCGAGCTTCCAGCCTCTGGTTCTGCAGCCAGATACTTGAACTACTGAGCTGTCTGACTCAACTGATGAAGAAATTAGGCAGATCAAAGAGGCACATATGGCGTTGTTTTGTAAAGCAATTTATAAAGAATTGTTTTTATGGAAAAATGGAAGATTCTTTCTTTCTTCTCTCTACAAAGAAATTTACAATATTAAAACAACAGTAAAACATTAAAAAAACAGAACAAAACAAAAACTATGTTTTTTTTAATAGCTGGTCATAGGTGTGAAAGAGAGGATGGACTAGAAGGACCCTCCCAAAGAGCTATCAGAGAGGCTAGGGAACAAAAAGTGTATTCTGGAGTTAACCCTTATGATCCAGCAAAAGATCCAACGAAACAGATTGGCAAGAGATATCCAAAGGTATTTATTTATTTATTTATTTATTTGTTTGTTTGTTTGTTTGTTTCCTTGCTTGCTTGCTTGCTTACTATTCTCTCTCTCAGTGCAGAATATATGTAAGGTAAGAAAATTCCAAACATATAATTCTTATTTGTTTTTCCTAAACCTAATGGTGTAATGTTAACATAAAAAAATTGGATTTTTATAACAGCAAGCATCTATACAATCTGACATAACTGTTTGTTATAGAGATTTTAATTTTTCTGCTCCATATGTCTCCTACCATTCCAGCAGCTGTACTGTAGTTTGTCTGTGGCAGTGATGCCATGTTGATTTAAAATCAGTATTGAATTCTGAAGCTGTCAAACTTGGGAACCATTGGCTGCCTCTGTCTATGGGCCCATAGAAGAACCTCTTCTTCCTCATATGTTTTGTTAAACTTACAGAACAAGTCTTGGTTGTTATTGGAGCCATAAGTGGAAGCTGTCTTTAAAAAAATTGAATCTTTGAGTATTGGAAGCTTGTTTACAAGCTGCATACTTTTAAAAGTTTTGAGACAGGTTAGTGAGTTCATTTGCAGTTATATATGAAAAAAACAGTTAATAATGATTTTATTTTCTATTTTTTGAGACAGGTTAGTGAGTTCATTTGCAGTTCATGGGCTTCTATATATGAAAAAAACAGTTAATAATGATCTTATTTTCTATTGTCAGAAGTTATTCTTGAATTGTTTTCTACCATAGAAATGTTACTGAAGTTCCAGCTAAGAACATGAATGCCTATAGCTTGGGTAAAAAGGGTGCAGGTGGTGTTGGTTCATAGCTGTTCTTTTGTTAGAAATCAGTGTTTCTTTCCTGAATTATGACTTTTGCCTCCTAAATCACTTTCATAATCTCAAACAAAGAGGTGCATATATAAGTATATCCCCCACCCCAAGTTAAAAACACTATTACCATATTTTTTTCATGATGTTAAATCACTATTTTATTACAAGCAGCTTTTTATCATAGCTATTGACATTGTATTTTTTAAGAGTTGCTTGATTTTTTGGAATATAAAGTTATTATTATTATTATTTATAGATCATGCTGAAGAAGGTACCAAACCTACATGCAACCTAGTTTATGAATTGGTAATTGTTTGATTAGTCTCCCTCACAGTCACTGTAGGTATGTTTACTCTTGTCCAAAGGACTGTCCAGTTAATTTTGTGGCATCATTTTCAGTTTTTGTTGCCTTGGAACATGAAGTAGATACTTACAAAAGTCAATCAAGTTACTTATAACTTGGCCTTTGCCCATCTTGGCTTCAGGAATATGGACCATTTGTGGCTGACTCTGTTTGGTTGTATCATAGTGTTGTTTTTGTTTTTGTTATATGCTGTCAATTTGGAACCGAGTTATTGTGACCCCTCGTAGGGCTTTCGCCTTTGCCCATCTTGGCTTCAGGAATATGGACCATTTGTGGCTGACTCTGTTTGGTTGTATCATAGTGTTGTTTTTGTTTTTGTTATATGCTGTCAATTTGGAACCGAGTTATTGTGACCCTCGTAGGGCTTTCAAGGCATGTGAATATTTAATGAGGGGTTTTATCAGTTCCACATCCCCAGTCAGTTTCTAGGGCTCAGTGTGGATTTGAATCTTGTTCTTCAGAATTCTAGTCCAACATTCTATACACTACACCAGTGGTCCCCAACCTTGGGCCCCCATATGTTCTTGGACTTCAACTCCCAGAAATCCTGGTCAGCAGAGCTGTGGGTGAAGGCTTCTGGGAGTTGTAGTCCAAGAACATCCGGAGGCCCAAGGTTGGGGACCACTGCACTACACAACACTAGGATCATAGTCGCATTATTGCATGAGTATAAATACAAGAATGGAGTTGGCATCTGAATTTTTTATGGCCTGTTGTTGCAAGAGAACAGCACTTCTGGGTTTTTCTGTAAATACTGTTATACTTGTGAAAGGGAGGTCTCATTGTTCAGAATGGGTTGTATCTCATTTGATAATGTGGTTTAGTGTTTTCATCTGTTATGATGTATTATTTGAAATAATCTGAGAGTCACAATTTGGTCTCACCTGCACATTAAAAAGCAGGCCATTCTGTCAAAATTAGGATTTCTTGTGGATGAGAGAGTGTTTTTCCAGAGTCTGTAAAAGAAAACATCTTTATAGACCTGTAAAATGTTTCTGCAGCACCTGTAAACAAATAGTAGCCAAGAAGTAATAGAGGACAAATTGAGACTGTCTCTTGTGATTTAAATCTGTTGAGAGCAATTTCCCCAGGTTTCCTCAGGTTAACAAGTAAAGAGAACAAATCAACCAAGGTGTCTTGTGGGCAGGAGGGATCCTCATATAATAATATTTTTAAAAAACCAGTCACATCAAAGCGATTCTCACTTCTTCACATAAGTATTTTTAGGGTATGCATTTTATCCTTCAGACAGCTTATCTTTTCATACGCTCTTAGTATGAAAAGAATGTATGAAATGTGTGTATAAAAGAATTCTGAAATGTTGGATGAATGCATTGTTACTATTTTATCAATTTAGCAATTATACAAATAGCAGCACATCTGGATATTTCCATTTATTTTTAGAGGTTTTCCATACCTCTAGCCTACATGGAATGGCATACATTTTCTTTGTTCTCTCACTGAGGAATAGATAATAGGTTGCTGTTAAACAGCCATAACATTCTTCTAGCTTCATATTATTACTTTTTCCTTGAGTGAAGAGGCCATTTCGTCTGTAGAAAGAGGAAGTCTGAAGTCTCTATCTTCACCTTCCAGTGGATGTGGGGTTTTCTCTGATACTTTGTTTTGAAATATTTGGAAGATACATTTATTTACAGTATTCATTTAAAATATTTTTACCCCCACCCAAGGTAAAAATGGTTTATACTATTAAAAATATAACAGTAAAAGCTAAAAACAATAAATTATTGTAATAAAAAAAGCAAATATAATAATGAAAACTCACTAGATAAAAGCAGTACTAAAGCATATATGTAAAACACAACAGAAATGCAACAATCCCCCTTTTAAGAAGCCCCCTCAGATAGCTAGTCGCTAAAAGAAAGGGGACGTGGTAGCGCTGTGGCCTAAACCGCAGAAGCCCATTGCTGCAGGGTCAGAAGACCAGCAGTCATAAGACTGAATCCACGCGACGGAGTGAGCGCCCGTCGCTTTGTCTCAGTTAGTCGCCAAGGGAAAAAGAGTGAGCTCCCGTCGCTTTGTCCCAGTTCGTCACCAACGGAAAAATGTCTTCAGACAGGCGCTGGCTCTATGGCTTGAAAAGCGGGATGAGTGCCGCCCCCTAAAGTTGGACACGACTGGACTGAAAATGTCAAGGGGAACCTTTACATTTAAAAGAAAGCCTGCATGTAGAAAAAGGCTTTGCTTATAGTAGAAGGATAGCAAAGATGGGGCTAGCCTGGCCTCCTGTAGGAGGGGGGCTCAAGATTCTGGGAACAATGATAGAGAAGTCCCTCTCCCTTGTCAAATCCCAATATACCTGTGAGGGTGGTGGGACCTAGAGAAAAAGCCTCCTAACCTGGGCAGGCTCATAAAGGGAGGTGCGATCTTTGATATAGCTTGGACACAGGTCATTTAGGGCTTTATAAATCAAAAACACTTTGAATTGTGCTTGGAAATAGACTGTGTGTCAGTAGAGCTGCTGTAAGAGGTTATGTGATCTCTGTACGTTGTCACAGTTAATAATCTGGCAGCAGCATTTTGGACCTGCTGAAGTTTCCAAACACTTTCCCAAAGTAACCCTGCACAGAGCACATTACAGTAGTCCAAACGATATGCAACTGTGGCTGCTCCCAGGTTGTGCAATATTTTGTCCTGAGAGGTTAAGTTAGTCCCCTCCTTTTTATCCTTCTGTCAACAGTTGAAGAGATTAATACCCAAAAAGAGATGGTTGTCCCTTTATCTGCATTTCTGTTGTGTGATACAGACTCTGGGCTCCAGGGTGTAATGAGAACAAATAAAGAGAACAATGGAAAGAAGACATAATGAAACTGCAGGGAAGGGGAAGGAATTTCCTGTAGAGAAAGCAGAGCAGTGTACATTCAGCTTCTTACTGGAGAAACAAGTAGGTTGATTATCTAGAAACTTGCTGATGAAAGCTGACACTTTCTTTAGTGTCTGGCTAAAGCTAAAACAAGAGCAAAGAATGCATTCCTTCATATCCTGTGTCACTGGGATATTTGACACAATTCTGAACTTCTCAGCATGTCGGAAATAGACTGCAAAACATGATTTCTCCCCTTTCAGCTTATCAGTGTGCCTCCTAACTCAAACAACCTTTGTACAGTATTCATAGCTGTTAGATTTCATTGGATTGATCTAATAGTGATGTAATTGATCATATATGATCTTATTCCAGTCAAAAGGGTAAAAAGGGCTCCAACACATTTCCCTTTCCTTGATCATCCTGCCACTCATCCTCCTTTTTGGGGGGATAATAAAGACGCAGATACTTCCGGTAAGGAAGAGAGGAGAAAACCTTCAAAGGATGCTGTCTGAGACCTTTCCAGAAGTGATACCTAGTTGCTAGGTGACTACAGTTAATTGGTCATAGTGAGATTTTCCCTTCCACATATTCCATGGTCTAAGAGTTAGCAGCTGCATTTACAGCCTGTGTTTCAGTTATAGGGAGAAATAGTTCCATAACATAGTTCTGTAATTTAGTATGACCTTGGTGTTTATTAATGGGCTTCTCAGTGGCCATACGTGAGGGTTTGATTGGACAGTCAAGTGGTTTTTCCTTATCCTCAATAACTTCACCAGACACCATTTGCAGCAGTAACGATGGAACATTTATTTTAGAACTATCCAATAAACCATTATCGTGGACAGGAACATAGTCTCTTTCACCTTCCTCCACTGGGGCAGGAAGGGACTTACAATCTTCTAAAACAAAGGGGTTACCATAACTAGAGTTTGTTTGTTTGTTTGTTTGTTCATTCTATTTGTATCCTACCTATCTGGTCGTTGCGACCACTCTAGGCAGCTTAC